CATGAATAAATATTTCATAAATGCCTGTCTTCTCCAAGATCAGACTTCACCACGTATCTCATTAAATTAAGTAGAGGGCTCTAGGCCACCGGTCCATGATTTTTCATCATCTGCGGTTTCAGATTTTTCCTGAATCATTTTGTCCGCTAGATCGACCTCGCACTCATTACAAACCATATTTCAACAGCTGGTTCTCATAAAGCCGCTTCACATACATTTAGTGGAGGAGACACGCGCTATTTGAAATACTCTGATTACGAACATATTGTAATGGTTAAATAGAATATTCCAAAACTTAAAATAACAATTCAGCAAAATTTCATTGGTAAGGCCAAAAAAACTTTTCCAAACAGATTCAAGCAATATGTGAAGGTTTGTCAGTGATTTTGCAGGTTTACAAAGCTTCGAAGCAGAAAGATTTCTGAAAAACCAAAATCCGTAGTGAAGATGCAATGGATTACCATTCAACATGGTTCTGTTACAGTAACTTCAGTACAGTGAAGATTAACAACGGGAAATTAACCCTATCAGACAAGGTTGTTAAGCATAGACCATTTTCTCCAGTCTAATACGTTTCTCATGTGTTAGTCGAAGCACTGCGGACATCAACCAAGAGGACAGCATGCAACTTCGAAAAACTTGGTAGAGGTAAATCTGCTTTTGGAGAGGAATTATTTTTTCTTTGATGTACAACTGGTGCTTCATAGCAAAAGTGTTGAAAATCAATAAATATAACAGAGATCGCACACCACCGACGTTCTATTAATTCAAACTGATTAAGGAGATGACCTCAACAAACAAGAACGATATAGGTAAATTTTATGGAAATGATGTTATTCATAATTGCCACATATGAGGTAATTACTTACTATGCTCACAATTTCTTCCAGTGAATCCGGTCGAGCAGACACAAAGGTAATTATTGAATTGGTCCACGCAACGACCTCTTCCACTACACGTCACTCCAACGCAATCGTCAAGATCTGTAAAGTTTAAAACGAAAGAGCTTAAATGAGGTTACGAGCGTTTTGAATCAAAAAACTAAGTGCAACGAAGCTCTGAAGAAAATGGAGCAAACGATATCAGAAAAAATGTCAGTTTCGATTCAATTTTTGAGATGCCGTCATTCATTTCAATAACATAAATTCCATTTTAAACAATCTGACCGTATCTTATATGAAGGAGAAAAGTACTTTCATAACAGAAACCTGAGTGCTCAACAGAGAACTACATTTCGGATAAATTAATTCTTTCAGTCATCACTGAAGAAACGTGATTCTTATCCTGAATATCAACCGATATATGGTAACAAAACGCTGACTGCAGCCCTAGCGAGATGCAGCAGAAATTTTGAATATCAGTCATTCTTGCCTGCATATAGTTCTGTCGGTATGTGTTACTGAGGATTCACTTATGAGGCAGTTGCTAGAGTTACTCGATGTAGACTTTGACTGCTATTCTTACTGTTTATTCAAAGTATCAAACTGATGTGACGTTGCTGAAGATAATTTTGCACCAGATGCACAGCCACAGTTGTCTCTGTCGTTTCACTTACAACTATGACGTGCTGCTGTCATATTCATTCAATTTTACAGCACCTTAATCGCAGGGAAGGCAAGAATTATGATGCCAATGAATTATGAATTATGATGAATTTTAGAAAGGCTGTCTCATAAAATTGAAGCAATGTCTACTGTTGTAGCAAATATCTTACATTAGTCGCTGCAAGCAAGTCTGCCTCATCAAATTGCTTCCAAGTTATGAAATGCCTTGCAACGTGTCTACGGTTCCATGGTGGTTCCTACCCAAGAACAGTCTACCAAAATATTTTTATTACCGTTTTGGGCTGTCTCACTAAGACAACCAAACCACGGATAGCTAAATTTTTTGGCAGCTTTCTTAGATCGGTGATCATTAAAAACGCGTTTTTCATGGCCTAATGGCCGAACGTTGAGGACACCTTGCAAACGGCGTTGTTGAAGGCTGTCGAAACAATTTCAATGAAGATTCAGAATCGTCTTTGTTTCCAGAGTGAACATGAGGCCACGAATAGGGCCGCTTTCAGAATGGTTTTCTTGTAAAAGATTTCTAGGGCTCAGTCATTCTATTTTTAATGCATGTTGTCAGTCATGCCAGTCCCAATGACCGATTCAATTCAGAACCGATGCTGCCATTACAGCCGAATACTGCTCCAAGACACTTCAAATGGTCTGCCTCTGCAATCGCGATATCAATCCATAGTATCCTCAAACTGTCGATGATGATAAACGTTTTCATAAGTTGTAACTTCTTGGAATTACCTTAAATCCCCACTTCCTCAAACCTGCTGCATCCTTTCCATATGAGTGTCGGTTGGCCACTTGCAGAGTCACTCAACGGTACCACCTCATCCTCTTATTCAAATGCATTGGAAATTCTTTTTGATGCCTTGAACTGTGCTGCTGACTGAGGGTCTGCTATTCACAAGATCTTTCAAAGAACTCCAAGGAAAGATCAAAAAGCTCAATGACGTCAAATTCAAAAGAGAGTTGAAAATGAACCTGAAGAGGGTTCGTGTCATATTTGACGTGACCATAAAATCTGCTGAAGTTAACAGAACCACTGCATGAACAAATGCAAAACTACATCTGCCACGGACAGCTCATTTCTGCAACGAAAAATCGACTCCGAAACCAACAGAAGAGAAAAAATAGCATGGAGCACTTCTTAAAGACTAAAACCTTCCCATGGGCGAAACTGTCCTTGTACTTGAAACAGAAAGCATTCAATCACTGTGTGATACTGTAGTGTTAACCTACTGCTCCGAAACGTGAACCCTAAACCTGAATGCTATTCATCAAATCGCTGCATGGAAGGACTATGTTGATAATAACAAGAAAAGATTTGAAGATGAATAGATGGGTAAGAACACAAATAAGAGTATGTAATGTCCCTGTTCAAGCGAGATTGTTGAAGGAGCCATAAATCAGTCATATTGCAAGGACCTATAATCGCTTGGCCAACCCGTATTTGACTCAATTCCAAGAGATGTAAAACGCTGCCCCAGACGAGATGCACATCAACGGCAAGATGAACTGAAAGAGTTTGTTTGGATCCAGAAAACGGAAGGATGTGCCAAAATCTTGAAGAGACTTTCGTCCCAGAGTGAATCAGGAAAGCTGACGACTTTCGAGGTGCCGGTGGTAGGGAAAACAGGCTTCAGAAGAATGACGATCTCCGCTCTGTCATTTGATCGAAGCCAAATTTTACTTTTACCTGTTTCGCAAAATTTTCCCGTGAAGCCAGGGTCACATGCGCACGTATAACCTCTGAACTTGTCAATACAAGAGCCATGAAAGTTACAGCTGATTGATACGCAATCATTTTCGTCTAGAAAATAGAAGGCGTGCAAAATTAGTCAATTTCGATGGCACAGTTTAAAATGACCGGTCTCGCAGTTCTGTCCCGTGTACCCGGCGTTGCATGTACAAGTGTGCGCCCGTATGCCATCAACGCATTTGCCGTGACCACTGCAAGTGACTCCGCGGCAGTCGTCGATGTCTAAAACACCAAAACGAAAAGCAGTCAGCATATTAGTAATAGTTCAGCGGATGACTGATGTACATTCGATAGGCGGAAAGCTTAAGAAGTTTGTGTCCATCATTAAATGAGAGAGCCACCGCCGTAGCGAAGGGTCATTTTCGATACCTGCAACGTGATTGCTGCCATAAGAGGTTAGAGTCAAATTAAATGCAGCCGTCATGTATCGAAGCGAAGAAGCAAACTACGAATAATATCCAGATCAAATGCGGTTGTAGACTCTACCCACGAGATGGTTGTCATGCCAGATTTGAGAAGGAAACTGTTCCTCCTTAAACGAACTCGGAGAATTCAAAGAAAACGTTTGTTAGAACGGTCACAAATCATGATTGACATGATTGCCACTATAAAATGGCTTTAATTTAGTCAACATACGCTGAGTTTTGGAATACAAATGTCTCCCTGCATCAGGCATGCAATCAGGAGACAGAAAAAATATATCAATAAATACTTGAGTCCCTTCCGTAGCACAGAAATGTTTTCCCAATTTTAGAATTCCTCTATTTTGCTAAATTATGTCAATTCATCAAAAGCAATCTCTTACTCCGTTAAAAGTCATTAATTCAATGGTATTTCAATCCAGCTTCTTCTATGCTCCTTCCGTCACAAAATACAACCAACTGACAGCCACCTGACGCGGCACCAGTAGCCGGGTTCAACACAGTGTTTGATGCCTACTGAGGAAGTTTTGTCCTGGAGGAGGATATTCCGGCATAAATATAGACAGACGTAGTGAAGACAATAATCCACATTAATGCCTGAGGAAAGCATGGTAAACATTTTAATACATATTTCCGTCTGCAACGTGAACAAAAGATGGCAGTCTTAATCAAGATTGCAGGAGATCCAGAAGATGCTTAACGTGGGTGATATTTACTAATAAAAGAATTAAATGACATTTACTAAAAGAATTAGTTTTGTGTCATCTGGATGAGTAAAACGAGAGAATTCATCATTCGTGCTGAAAATGTCAGAACTTATAAAGTTGTGTCGTTATAGCTCTGAATAGAGGATGATATTTATCATTCCCGTTGCTGCGCTGCGTTTCTAAATAATGCGGCTCATGTATCTTTCAAAATTGCGCAACAGAGAGAACCGTATTCATTTTTAAATTTTGCTTTGATAATTACACTTAATAATGGACAGTGGATTTATTGGAATGAAAATAAACATTACTCCCTCAGAACTCAGATAATGCCAGCACCTCAGCCTTTAGAGAGTGTAGAAGAACCGTTAATTCGACAAACAGAATTGCCACTTGAATTGCATACCTGTTGATTACATTAATTTTTACATAATAGCTCAAACTTCTCCGAACAACTCGCGCACATCATGTACCCAAGTATGGAAATTTTTTAAATAAGTTTTCCTTGCCGTCTGTCAGAGAGGATGGTTAAATTCTGATGCTTCTACAATCTTCTTCGTTTTTACGTAATCCTGCGATTCACGGCCTTTGCGCTTCATGAAAGAAGTTATCGTTTTGCCAATGTTCTAATATGCAGTATTTTCTTGTTCATGATATCAATTTCCGGTTCTGAATTAATTAAATATAACTTAAAAATGCTTCTGTTTATAACATACTCCCGACAGTCAAGTTGAAAGTGCTATGAAACCGCATCTTTTACTTAATGCCCAAACCACAATTGAGAAAATCTTGACTCCATGATATTTTATTAATTGATTGCTAAAACATTACTGATGCCAAAGTATCACAGAACCATTACCAAATTAAACGAGTTCCAAGAAACTCAGGATCAAGGAGCAGCACCAAAATTTCATGAAATTTGGATTTGAGAAGTCATAGGTGCAGGAAAATACTCTGGTGGAAGACGCAGCTTTCTGCTTACTACGCTGCCCAGGCGACGATCATTTTTACCAGCATCACTCAGACTTCCCAAGGAAAACCTTTCCGTATTCTTACGAGAACTATTCTGGTATGTTTTACTCTACGTCAGATGATTTGATGCAAAAATTAGATTTGCAGAAAAATTGCTCATTTTAGGTAGACGCGCTGGGTAATTTCTTGCTTGGTTATTTCCATGAAACAACAAGCATTTATTTTCATATTTAACTTTAATAAATTCTAGATGATCATGCAGTTCAGATATTCAAAAATGATCATATCTGTATGTCGGTCAGAAACATAATTTCATGCAGTTATGAATAGTAAGAGAATAATGTAAAGTTACACAATCGACAGGAAGAGTAAATGATTGCCTTCGTTTTAAAACTGTTTAATAACGTCCCCTAGTAACCTATCAAAGGCAGCATAGATAACAAAGGCATTATTCGTACATAAAACTGAATGACATTCCCAATGAATGCAACATTGGTTAGGAAGAATCTGTCGACACTTGGTAATCGTTTTCCAACAGCTTCTGCTACAGTCTTTAAAAGCAACCTTTTTGGGTTGCAGAGTTAACAAGGTCAACCAGTGTCAACAACTTTGATGATCTTCGGCCAGTTCTTAGTGACGGAGGGATTACGTGTCGAGTTTGTTGTGAAGTTCATTTGTGCCACTGCTTCGAAAATTTCTGGATCTCCCTGATGACGATTTGCCAGCTGGCTTAGGAAAGACAATTTGCGTGGCCGTCTTTCTTAAGATCACTTTTAAGAAACACCAAGCCGTCATGCTTGTGATGCCAGTGTTTGTGAGAAGTAGCGGCTTGGCTACAGGGGTTTTCCGGTCAGCTGACTATAGCGCAGGTCGTTCATTTTTTTCTGGCCAAGCCTGTTTCAGTCTCATGTATCCGGGAGCATGTTGTTTTGGTCAGTACCCACGATTCACATGAAGGGGGGCTGAGCAGTGACACGAAGTTGCATGTGAATAGTGATGGATAAATATGCAAAAAAATGCCGCAGCACTAAACGGACTTGGAGAAGATGAACTGAAGTGAATTCTGCAAAAATTTGGACGTCACTTCTTTATGTAAAAGTCTAGTTACCATTGGAAGGCTAACAGGTTAAAACAGATCATATTTCATTGGCCTTTTGTGAGTGCAAAGTGAGTGATGTAAAAGCTTCAGTTCGGTTAAAGAGTCTCAGAGGGGCTATTTCGCAGTCGCCTAAAACAGATAGAGTACATTGAAAAAATTCTAACGATGAATATTGTATGTTTCGCATTATACGGCAGCTGTCAATGAAATTCAGCGTATTTCCTGAACATATGGCGTTTTCTATTTTTGAGTGTTTGAGTTTTTGAGTGAACTCACTCAGAGCTTACCTTGAAAAATCTTCGTTTGGTCAATAATTGTTCTGAAAACATTAAAGTCCCTTACTTTTCTCACAGAACTTTCCTGCAAATCCATCATAGCATTCGCAGTGGTACGAATCAATTCCATCAACACATCGTCCACCACAGCTGCAGTTAGCGCCCTGACAGTCGTCCACGTCTAAAACGTTATTCATAAGGCTGATATCCATCTTGAGAAATTTGCATCATCGATGGAAAGATATACCTCATTCGTATTCTAAAAGTGGTGACTTAGAATGACTATTGTCCACTTAGAGAAACGCATCAAAAATCCGCCTCGAATTAGTTAGTAATTTGCTGTTTCAGAGAGCTTCCTACTTGTGGTATCCGCTGCACTTTAGCATGTCAAGATCAAAGTCCATGTCACAG